TGAGAGACTTCTGGGGTGGGTCCCCTCTTTCATCGGGAGGGGAGCGGGGTCGTGGGTAAGCAAAGGACCGAGAGGGTCGACTCCCCCCTTCGAGCCTGGGGCCTAAGGCAGAAAAGGGTGGGAACCAGATCGCCTGGGTCCTCCGAGGGGAGTTTGGTGGTTTTGGGGTGTGTGTGTGCGCGCGGACGTAATTGGGGGGGGGGAAGCAGAGAGTTCTCCCTGATGAGAGTGATTATAACCAGAAGGAATAATAACTTGGGCTGCAGAGGGTGGGGAGATGGGAGTCCCTTTTTCTCCCCCTCTGGAAGGAGTGTAATCTGTCAGAACAAGGGAAGCCAGATCTCCTGAGTTCTTTGGATGGAGGTCCTCTTGGGGTGTGTGTGGCTTTTGAGGGAGGATGGTGGTTGAAGCCCCAAACTATTGATTTGGGATTGATAGTGTGCAAGAGGAGGCAAGGGAGTGGGGTCCAAATTCAGCCAAGATTCAATTGGGAAGCCACCTCTCTTGTTGAGCGACAGAGAACTGGAGTTTGGGATTCTTTAGAAGGACGATAATACAGTATATGGTTTTAGGGTGGATCAGAGACTTGAGCTGCAGGGAAAAGCTTCATAGGTGTGTCTCTTCAATTAGTCGTGCATTGGAAGAAATCCACAGAAGTGTCCAAGTGTCAATCAGGCTGAAGAGTCTTGGCTTTTGACCTCTTGCCCCACAAACCCTCCCACGCTCTTCTCTTCCTGATGTTGGTATCCTAACGTTCAGCCGTCTTCTCCAAAAGGGTTGCTGTCTCGCTTTGTTGCAGCAAAATCAACACTCTTGTGAGACCTTGAAGGCTGGCAGATTTATTAGAGCGGGACGTTGTGTGGACCTCAGCCCATAAAGTTGGTGAAGCTGGCTCCAGTCCACGCACATTCACTTTGTGCTAAATGTGTTTGTCTTGAAAGTGGGGGAAATGCACTGTTCTTTTAAGAAAGTTTACTACGCTGAAGCCTTCCTGGTGCAGAGCCCACAGTGCTGTCTTGGCTAGAGTTCTTTTTAGATAGCAGTGAAGTCTAGTGGGGTAAGCTAAAACTGATCGTTGTAGTGGATTTTTCGGGCTGTTTGGCTGTGTTCTGAAGGTTTTTCTTCCTAACGTTTCGGCAGTCACTGACTCCTGTCCTCTGAAGATGCCCATGGCCACAGAGACTGGAAAAACGTTAGGAAGAAAAGCCTCCAAAACACAGCCAAACAGCCCCAAAGCCCCACAACAACCATCGGATCCTGACCGTGAAAGCCTTCGAGAATACATTAAGCTAAAACTGCTACAGCTGGAAATGGGGTGGGAAGTTGGGTATCTTTAAAAGCCAATTAAAAACATGGATGTTTATTCAGGCCTTCCCTCCAGTCAATACTTGATTCTTCTCATTTCTCCTTTATTTATCTTTATTCTATTTTCTTGGTTTTCACATTTTCATTTGAAAATTTATGTAGCTATGTGTTTTTATCAATTGTTTATATTATATTGGAAGCCGCCCATCGGATCCCGGCCATGAAAGCCTTCAAGAATACATTAAGCTAAAACTGCTACAGCTGGAAATGGGATGGGAAGTTGAACGTTTTATGTGATTTCTGTCTTCTCAGGGATGGGGGAGGAAATGGTAGGGCCTTTAGGTAGCGATCAATCAATCAATCAATAAATAAATAAGTTGAAATTGTATGTGATTTCCATCTTCTCAGGGATGGGGGAGGAGAAGGTAGGAATGGTAGGGCCTTTAGGCAGCACTACAAAAACCACAACACCAAAACCTTTTTGTGATTGTCAGTTACTGTAGAGCTGGGGTGGACAAAACAAAGTTCTGGATTTGCTGAGTTGTATTTTTTTTTACAACAGATTCCAATTCATTTTTGTCTAATACAACTGAAACATTGGGGAGAAAAATCAGGAGTGGACTTCTTGAGTGAAGGATCTTTTGAGTTTAGTTTGGGTTATTGTTGTGCTGTAAACTCATTTCTGAACTTAACGGCAACCCTATGAATGACCAATTTCCAAAACGTGTGGTCCTCAACAACCCTGCTCAGCTCTTCGTTTGGGTACTGATAACAAATCTGAACTGGACTGATGGATTCCTTAGTGGCCACCTCCTGGAGTCTCTATTTTATGCTGGGCTCCAGCTGCTGGGTCTGAAGAGTTCCACCAGCGTGAAGTCTCTCAGCTTCTGTGCAAAATGGTGAGGAGTGTACAAAGTAGTTTCTCATGTCCCTCACTGGAGGTGCAAAAAGCTGCTTTTCAGGGAACTGCAACTCACACAATCCCAGTGTTATCTGTGGGAGCTGTACTCCAGAGCAATCCAAAACTTCCTGTCTGGAAGGTTTGGCCTTTCAGATGTTTTGGATTTTGATTCCCTGAAGCCCCTGCCAGCATAGTTAGTGGTAAAGGATGATGGATGTCGTGATCTAAAGCATCTGGAAGCCAAAAAGGTCTCTCCCCCCCCCACTCCTGACAAAGAATCTGCTTGCTGAATTACAGGGAGAAGCTTGTATGTTTTTGTTAGAATATGAGTTGCGTGTTTTGTTGTCTGTGCTGTTTACTGAAATGTTTGCACTGCAGAAATGTATATTGCTTTTAATGTTTATGAGTTTTGTATCTTGTCAAATTGGATTTTTAGAAATCCATGGAGATCATGGCGATGCTATTTTGTATTTTGATTGAATTATAAAACCGTTAGGTATTTGAAGCGCTAATGATTGCTATAGCATTTTTATTTTTAGAGGCTACTTTTTCATACTGTTTGGATTGTTACTTTCATAGGATTGCATTTCCCATTCCCCTTGGAATGTGAAGTGAGAGGGCAAAGACTAACATGAAAAAATGAACTCAAACCGATTGTTACAGACTATTGCTTTGTTTGTCAGTATGAATTACTGGTTAGAGTGTCAGCCGAAGATTAAGCAGACACAGATTCCATTTCCTCTTTAGCCATGAAGACTTACCTGTTGTTTTGCAAGCCATCCTTGTATGGTTCACCCTTTGAAACACTCATTCTGTTTCAGTCTAACCCATTTTACAGGGCTGTTGTGGGATTATCACACAGAGTGGCAGAACCTTGAGCTCCTTGAAAAAATAGGTAGGATAAAAGTGTAATAGGTGCTGTGATTCTGTGATGGTGTGTCTTGGAAATTGGTTTCTAGAGTTCAGCCCGTATCAAATTAACCACTGACTATTGCGATCATGCTTTGTGTGTGTATGTGTGAAGCCTGAGAGTTCAGCCCGTATCAAATTAACCACTGGGATCATGTTTTGTGTGTGTATGTGTGTGAAGCCTATTGGAATGTTTCCCATATGCTTCCCAAGCTTCTGTGATCTTATGGTTTTTTAACAATGGGGTGGGACATTTCTGCTAGGCCAGCTGGATAGCTGACAAGCTTAGAAGTCAAGATGCAGGATAGGCTTGCTCTGCCTAAAGTGAATTATTTCTGACCCCGTGGCGATCCCTTCCCTTCCCATGGGCCAAATGAAACATACCAAAACATAAATGGTATCCACCCACGGATGGATCTTACTGAATTTTCTTTGGGGGACAGAAAGGAATTAAAGGTATAAAACATATGACAAGCAGCTTCCTTGCTTTCTTGGCCTCAGGCACCTTTCTAGCCTTAGACTAGGAGGGAAATAAAACAACCAATTAACTGATAAAGAGGAGAAATGGGGAAGAGGAGGCACTGCTGCAGGGGGTTTGAATTAAAGAAGTGGCCAATATATCTTTCCTTGAAAAAGTCTTGTGTTCAGCTTGGAGACCTTTTCCTCATTATGTCTCTGTGTTGCTGTGCTTGATTGCTCTGGTGTTTTATGACCCTTGTTGAGTCAAGTGCGATTTGATATGTATATGCAGGAAGGTTGGTTTCGACTTGTTCTGCAGTTGATTAGCAAACTGCTTCTCCATAAACGTATGTGGGTCTTTGGACTCTCTGACAAAGAAACCAGATTGGACATGAGAAGTAATTAACTCCAGCCAGCGCTTTGTAGCCATGTGAAGGTTGAACGAGTGATTTGCGTTGGAAGTGTAAACAAGGCGATCTGTTCCAGAGCAAAGTTATGTGGAACCTCTTTCACCTGTTACAAACTCTTGCCCCAGACCTTGGGCACTATCCTGCTCTCTGTCTCTCCATGTCTTCTCCAATCAAGAAAGAGGAGGGTACACCCATTGTTTGTTCTGCTGATGATCCACAGCAGAGGAGAGCTTCATGAGGTTCTCTCTCCACAGTTGTTGGGAGCAGGGCTTTTAGTGTGGTGGCCTCCTTATTGTGGAACCCTTCCCCATCTGATACCAGGTATATGCCAGCAGTCCTTATTTTTAGAGATGTGTTGAAGACTTTATCTATTGTTTTGCAAGCTAATCTAGTGCGGTTCAGCCTTAACAACAATATTATGGGTCAAGCCAGTGTTGCACCTTCTTTCAAGCATTGTTGTATTTGATATGTTTTGTTGTGTTGCGCCATGCTTTAAAATCCTTCAGATACAAGCAGTTTAAATATTGGCAGATAAATGAGTACTTTAATAACATTGCTTGTGTCGTCCCAAAAGAGACAGGGTGGATGTGATGTAGTGTTGACCTCATGAGGTTCCAAAGAGCTCCATCAACAAAGTGAGCTTTTCACATGTACTTGGGAATAAGTCCCATTCAACAAAATGGAACATGCCCAGTGGAGCAGGACATGTTCCATCTGCCCTCATACACTAAGTCCTATGAGGATAGATGAACCCACCAGGAGTACAGTCTGAGATGATAAAGAGGCAGTGGGAGAGCTGTCTTCAAGCATTATAAGGACTGTCAAAGAGAGATGATGGACGGAATGCATTTGCCTCTGTTTCTTAAGAGGGTGGGTCTCGTATCTGTGGATTCAGGTGGCAAGCTCAGGAGGTTCAGCTAAACCTTAAGAAAAGTGTCCTGATGGTATCAGGGGAGCTTGGAAACATTACAGTTGTGCCCCGCTGGACGATTACCCCACTCTACGACAAATCTGCTTTACGTTGACGTTTTTGCAATCGCTTTTGCGATTGCAAAACGATGTTTTAAATGGGGTTTTTTCGCTGTGCGATGATTGGTTCCCTGCTTCGGGAACCGATTTTCGCTTTACAACGATCGTCGGGTTTTTCGCTTTACAACGATCGTCGGCTGAAGAAAATGGCCCCCCGCTGTTTTCTAGGACGGATTCCTCGCTTTACAGGCACCGAAAATGACCGCCGTGTGGAGGATCTTTGCTGGACGAGTAGGTGTTCAGCCCATTGGAACGCATTGAACGGTTTTCAATGCGTTTCAATGGGTTTTTAAAATTTCGTTTGATGACGTTTTCGCTCAACAGCGATTTCGCTGCAACGCATTAACGTCGTCAAGCGAGGCATCACTGTACTCTTTTGGGCTGCAGAACAGTTGAAAAGTCACTAGGCTGGCAGGTGATCAGGCTGTGAGTAGGATGGTTTAGAAGAGTTACTTCCAATTTCCGAACATGAGCTGTGTCGCTGGTTGTCAGGTGATGCTGTAGTGGCTGTGTTTCTGCACTGGTAAGGGCTAGGCTAGAGGGCTTCTGGGGGCCCCTCCCAACTCCGTGGTAGTTCTAAATAGAGGTGTGCTTGGTGACAACCACAGTTCAACATTTCTGAATCACAGAAAATGGTGATGTAGAATAAAAGCAGGTAATAATAAAGAGAGAAAGAATAGACGTTTTCCTCCCTACTTTTCATTTCAGGAGCAGTACATACGGTAGTTCTTCACTTCCTCCTGATTTCATCCTTATGAGGTTGTTTAAGCTGAAAGATCACTCATTGAGCTTTAAGAGGGAGCTCTGGCTTGACCCTGGATCTCCTCAGCCCTGTTCTAAGGCTCTTATCATGTCATTGCATTGGGTTTCTGTTGTATTGTATTCTTGTGAGAACTACAGTCTCCAGCATGAGTCACTTATTTTTTAAAATTCGTATCTGTCTGGCTACGTTGATTTCTAGCAGGACTGAACATTAAAGCAATCAAGACTTCTCTGCACTATTGCTTCTAACATCTGCAAAGAAAAGGGATTCTGGACAGATGCAGCTTGTCATGTGGGTGAGGAACAAGCAGCACATACCAAAATCCTCTCTTTTTATACAATTCTTAAAGGTACAGGAGGTCTGGTATTTCTTGTAGCTGAATAATTTCAGACCCCACCCCCCGTGATTATGAATGAGTATGCTCATTAAAACTTTCCAAATGTGTGTGTTTGTTTTTTAGACTTCATTGAGGAAATCTACAGATATAAGTGTATTCACATCAGGGTGGATAAAAATCAGTGATTTTTTTAAAAAAAAATCTCTTTAAATCATGATTTAAATTAATTTTTAAATTTAAATTATCAAAAAAAAATCAAATCATGATTTAAACTGGTTTGATTGAAATAAATCCATGTTGATCATTTATATTTATTTTCTGGATTGTCACGGGTAAAAGTTGTATTTATTTATTGGGTTTGTGTCCTGCCTTAATTCTATCCTCACAACAGTTTTGTGTGGTAAATCAGGCCAAGACATCATGACTGGTCCAAGATCACTGATTTTCACCAGGTGGGTTGTTTTTTTTTTAAATATTATTATTATTATTATTTAGTGCTTTCCCTTCTTTCTCTTTTAATGGCTGATATTTCAAAAGCGCGCATGTTCTCTCTCTCTCTCTCTCTCTCTGATATAATGCTAGCACAGGCTGATGGTGATGGTGGATTTCCACAACCCACCGGGAGTTGAGAAAGTGTGACTCATTTATCCTCATTTATCTACTAGTGCTGTAATGCGAGCTTTCTGAGCAGGTTGAAGAGCTCTGACTAAGGGGTAAATTCAGACTGTACTGCAATTATAAGAACTGGAGATTAATATTGTTGCATAGCAGCTTTTTTTCGTTTGCATGATGCTAGCTTATATCAGCTTGAACCAATGATCCATCTGTTTCAGTAATATCTATACCAGTGGTTCTCAATATTTGGCTCTCTAGATGTCTTGGGCTTCGGCTGAGAATCTTCGACTGGTGGCCGTACCGGCTCCAAGCTTCTGGGAGTTGGAGAACTATTCAACTGTATGTAGCTGTAGCTGGACAGCCATTTTCTTTGTGGGACTTCTCTATTTGTTCTTCTTCCTCTCTGCCTAGTACACTGCTAGGATATTTAACTTATCCAGAAGCACGAACTGACCACTTGAAAAGGGCTTTCAAATTAGGCTCAGGAGGACTATGTGAGATAAGGTGAGGACTGTTTGTGGTGCTGGGGCCACAGGTAGCCCACCTCTAATCAACACTGAGTAGTGGTCTCTCTCCAGGGCTTTCGAACAAGATCCTTCTCAGCTCTGTGTTGAGATGCCAAGGGGTTGAATCTGGGATGTTCTGCATGCAGAGCATGTGCTCTAGCCCTGACTTATGGCTCAGTTTTTCCTAAATAGCCTCATTACATGTCAGCCCCATCTCCCACGAAACCTTTAAATCCTCGGTCTTTTCACATGATGTATTGCGGATGTCACCTGAACATGAAGCAGCCCTGTGGCACCATGGGGACTAACAGATTTATCGTGGCACAGCCTCTTGTCGATGAGAGCCTACTTCATCTGCTGCTGCTTAAAGCAATATCCGGAACTAGGAGAGCTCCTACGAGGAGATGGAGAGCAAAAGTTAGTAAACAGTGGACTTGAAAGGTTGTGAAATGCAAAAGATGTAGTAGTGGGTCTTTTATATGCCTGCACAAAACAATATGGGCAAAACCTCTCCCGAATACCCTGGAGATTGACACAGTGTTTTTTTATTTGAGCAATCCAGGGATCATTATGTGTCTTCCAGGTTCTAAAAAGACAAATTAGTCCTCTTTACAAACCCACATTAGACTGTTACTGTTGTATGTTGGCAGTAAACGGGTGAAATTTAGTTATTGGTTTAAAATATGCTTATGGGGGCTAACCAGGGATTTGGTGGTGCTGTGGGTTAAACCGCAGAAGCCTCAGTGGTCCAAGGTCAGAAGACCTGCAGTCGTAAGATCGAATCCACGCGACGGAGTGAGCGCCCGTCGCGTGTCCCAGCTCCCGCCAACCTAGCGGTTCGAAAGCATGCAAATGCGAGTAGATAAATAGGGACCACCTCGGTGGGAAGGTAACAGCGTTCCGTGTCTAAGTTGCACTGGCCATGTGACCACGGAAGATTGTCTGCGGACAAACGCTGCCTCTATGGGTTGGAAACGGAGATGAGCATCGCTGCCTAGAGTCGGGCACGACTGGACAAAATTGTCAAGGGGAACCTTTACCTTTTTACCTTATGGGGGCTATGTTCTGTGCAAGGATTGTAAGTAAAACTCTGTACATAAACGCCACCTCCTTAGCTGTCAACAGACACATAGAAATAGCTTACAAAGTTATTCTCCAAAACTATGGAAACAATGAAAGACAGACTTGACAAGGAAGGTCTCTGCGGTCTGTGTAAAAGCCATATTGAAGGGAACAAGATGTAAGACCCTTTGAAGGCCTGAATTTGGATCCGGGTATGAGATGATCTTGTTTCTAGCACACATCAGAGTTACTAATGGGAAGCATTTGTGACCAGGCAAGGCTATAAGAAGTTCTTAAGATCGTCTGCTCTCAGGCTGGTTCTTCTGGGCCAGTGAAGAACTGAGAACCAAGGGCCAGGGTTTACTTTAGGCAGGAGAAAAAGCAGAGCTGGGAAAGTGAGGAATTTGTCAAAGGCAGCTTTTGAACGTCGAAATATCAGAAGAGTGGAAAGGCTGAGAACCAGAGCGGGGTGATGCTTACAGGGTGAGGCTGTGATCCATAGAGGAAGACCTGGATTCAAATCTCTACTCAGCCACAAAGGTCTCTTAGTTGATACTAAAGCATGAGGCTGTTGTTAGGCTGAAATGCATGGAGGGAAAACCATATATCCTGCCACACAGCATTTCTTTAACTCTGGAGTGGAGGACTGGGGATGGATGGGTTCCAGAATTTCACACAGAACTGCAGTTCTGACACTGGTTTGTAGCTTCTCCACTCCCCGTGTTGTTGCACATCCCCCATTAAATGAATAATGCTAACAAATGCACCATATGTGAAATGGTTGTGTTGTGGCGAAAAAGCAGCCCCTCGATGTAAATCTACGAGAAGAGATGGCTTTCTGTGTGTCTGCGCTTGTATATATCCCATTATTTCTTCTGCCTTCTCTTTTCCTCCCTCCAATATAAATTTAAACAGAAACATGTGTTACATTTTTTCCGCCTTAGCACATCCTGGCTGCTCCCCCTTGGCTGAAATTCCTTCCTTTGCAGGGTCCCAGTTTCCTTCTGCT